GTTGGGAAACCGTTCGGAAGCAATTCGATACAAGCAATTAAAATAAACAAGATTTTGCTATGATTTTCTATGATTTCATGCTTTGTCAGTTATTTATATTACAGAAAAAAACATTCAATAAATAGGTATTTATATTGAAGTGAATTATCAATGTCGAACAGAAATAAAATATTATAGTTGGTAGATTTTAATTAATTTAATATCGCCGCGCGTTTTCTTTTTATTAGAAGTGTTGAGTCAATAGGAAATTTCAATAAAGAAAGGAAGGAAGGCGGACGCGTGCGATCCTTAAAAAAACACATGGCTAGCTCGCAGGAGCCGTGCCTCGTTTTATTACATCGTAAATAACAAGGACGTAATTAATTGGGATTCAATAAAGAACGCGCAAAGTAGAAGAAACGGAACGCACCGCATCGCAACGCAGGCGAAAGCTCAACATATACACCCACACATACTGTGTCTCCGGAATGCGACAAACAACACCCACTCCAATTACATGAGGGCTCATCCAATTTATCGAAATTTATATACGACAATGATGTCACCGCTCTTGGTTTAAGCAAAAGTCAAGCCTATTAGTAAAAAAATCAAGGTTTTTATGCGTTTTTTTTTTGTACAAAATGTTATTTTCGTAAAAATAGAACATTATTTGTTTATAAATGTTGCCATATTCATAAATAGGATTTTATATTGTGTACTAACCAAATGAAAAAAAAGTTTTTTGGGTCATTTTTGTCGTTATCATTTTTTGTCGTTTTTTACTTATAAACATAAATACAAACGACCACATTTGCCTCCATTTTGAATTCACCTTGTGTCCAATATAGAACCATACAATACTCGTGCATACAAAATTTTGGTCATTGTAATCTATTTAATTCTAAAATACAGGCACGTATTTATTATATTTTTAAATAATTAAATCACAAACATTTATTTATCTTTTTTATTTTTGGATGTGATATTGAAATATATTAATATATATTGATATTTTGTATCTAACCCTTTAAAAACTTTATTACGTCCATGTTTCGAATATGGACGATGTTTATGTGGAAAAATTTGCAATATTTGTGAATGCGTAATATAAATTCCGTGCGGTTCGCTCTTGCCGGACATGTCATAGGGTTATTACATGACCCCGACGCCCCTACACTTTGGCGACTTGACTTACACGCCGAACGTGCCCGCATCGCATCGGTTTTCTACTTTTTCCTCTCTGCCGGCGCCCGGCGCCTCCGCAATGTAAAGCTTTCGCTCGCGTAGCGATCCAGATGTTCTCATTGCTCTCTGCGCCTGCGATGCAAAAGGATTGTACTCGTCGCTAGTGGTTACCCTCTCTTTATAAATATTCAAGGCGTGAATGCCGCCGTCATGGTGTAACTAAACATTTCGACTTTCAAAGACGCTCGAGTTTTATTCGTTTAGTTAAGGCAATTTAAACGTTTTTTTCTTCTGCTACATTTATAAACAAATAAAATAAAATGTAAAAAATTCCAACAAGGTCACGCAATCACCTAATACATGGCAATTTGCATTTCATGTAATTTTTAAAATTAGCACCGCGACTTTTGACTTGCGGAAGCCGCGGTGAGGTATAAAGTTGGTAAGCATCCAACACTTTGCAGCCAATGCCACCGCTTTCTTTTAGTCTTGCGCTGGCTCCCGGGAGCGGTGAACACCGCGCAGAGTCTTGATTCATGTTTAGCAAAACTGTGAGACGGTGGCGCGCGTCCCCCTAACTGCGCTCCGTAGAGTAATTTAGGAAAGCGTGCGTTGGCGCACCATGCAGCGCTTTGCAATCATAAAATTCAACCTCGAGAAACTTTCACGGGGATTAGTTTAGCGGATGGTTTTTCGACGCCTGCCGGCTACATTTCTCTAGATGCAATGTCACTTATTTTAACCAGAATTATTGTCCGAGACAAATAATGACCGCTGGGGCCGAAAGTTTTCCACAAACTTTTTTGGGATTGTTTCAAATTAAACGTTATTTTATATATTTTAGTGTTAATAAAATACAAAAGAATCAACATTTGTTGGTGACAAGTTGAAAATGACTTTAAATTTGTTTCTAACAATTTAATCCCGTTTTCTTAGCCGGTAGTTTCTGACCCTAGAAACAATTAATCAGTTTTAATTGCAATGTTTGTCCCTTCCGTGTCCACTCTCCCAGAAATAAGGTACGACTTCTCATTATTCTACTTTAAGTAAACTCCCGCAATTGTTGTGAGTGTTTCGAACTATTTCACTGCGAAACCCGAACGAACTCATGATTACATTCACGACTAAGCCGCTTGAATTTTACCTCATTGCATACCGGATCTTACCAGAACTAATAAAATTTATCTTGGATTAATTTAAAACCAAAAACTTTAATATTAAGACATCTTAAGTAAAAAGCACGTAATTAACAGTTATATAAGTTAGGAGTTTTTTTGCTGTAGGGAATTTTATTGGTCCGGTTCTGATGCATGAAGGTCCACAAGGGTTGAGTACACATTCCCTGCGCATTCCAACGTCGTCGTTCGTCCATCCCAAGCGTGGACAGCCGAACAAACGCAAACGGGTTAAACGTTGAAATGGCACGAAGGTCAATTTGCAACCAATTTCCATATAAATGAGAATCCATCTCGTGTCCCCGATGATGTGTACCCCTTTGCCTTCGTCATGCAAACGTAGGGCATGTCTGCCCTGTGTCCTGTGACATTGACTGAGCGTTAAAAAATTACCACATTATTTAACTCCAGACACAATTAAATAGTCTGTCTTCTCAAATTAAACAAAAACCGAAATAAATGATTAATTTTTAATAAATAAACGTGATTTACTTGTGATTGATGCAAACACTCTGTGAGTAAGCACTTAATTCTAGTTGTGGACGCGTTTGCATTCGAGAAAATTCTATATAGTCGAAAGTTATCAACGTTGTTCTGTTATCCTTTCGTCGGTTTGTCGCAAAGAGCTCTTTGTTCGCGCGCGCAGAACTACACACCACTAGCCGAATTCACACCGACGCGTCCATTTATTTGCAACCAAATTAGATAACTGCGCGCGGGTTTCAAACGGATTTTGCATACATTCACTGAGTATTTACTTAGTACCACAAATTGAGATACTCAATCCGGGCGCATTCAGCACTTCCAGGGATGCGGATATATGTCAGCGTTACAATGACTGAACAGTACTATAGTGCCAATATTACGATTCTAGAACAATATAAAATAAAAATAGCAAATGCGTGTTTAGTTGCCTATATTATTTGATTTATACGATTGAGATAAAGAAACCTTTTCTATTGGTTTTTTTTTTGCGTGCAGAAATTAAACGTGCGGTTATTTTTAGGATTGTGATAAACACGTAATTGCAATTTCATAAATGACAGGATTGTCGCGTTGTTTCGTATTTTAACCATCGATAAGCAAGTTCCGTGACGCGTCGTTTAAATTGAGTTTCGACGTTTTTAGCGCAACATGTTCGCCGCCTTTCCCCCGGTTGTTTAATCTCGTTTTTTTTTCCGGGACCCCTTCAGGCGAAGGCTTTCCAAAGAGGGGATTGGAAAAATGAAATTGTTATCTAAATCAAAATCTTGAATTGCTTTGTTTCATTCGGGGCAAATGCCAAAACAAAACAATAAAAAATACAAAACAAATAAGATAAATATTCGATTTTTTTGGTGTGTTTCTTCATTAATTTTCTAATGTTGGCTTTGATAATCAATTAATTAGTCGATTTTGACACGAAAACAGTCGATATGAGTGAGAAAATATAAAATTAATGATTAATCGTTTGGCGCCCCAATTAATTCCGGATAAATTAAATACGTTGTGCAAATATTAACTCGATATGACATTAATTAGTTTTGTTTGTTTTTAATTCAGGTTAAAATCAATAAAAAGGAGTCGCTGTGTCGCACATTAGGAAAATAATGAGTTTTTGATAATTTTTGCTTAATTGAGGCATATTTACATTAAACATAACCCAACTTAACACAACATAACCATAAATAAACACTAATTATAATAAATATAGTGTTTTTAGTGAAATAAATTAAGATTGATCAGATTGTCGTGCAAGAGGAAAACGAAAGCGGATTATACGACCCTTGATCGACATCAAAACGACGCCCTTTCACTATCTACATCCCGCCAGATACTGCAAGCATTTTCGACACCTTGCCGCACATGCCACAAAAGATGCCGAAGACGAAAATCGTCTCATCGTCATTGTCACGTTTTGCATTTCGAATTAATCAAACACGTTCCCCTATCAACATGATTCACTGTAAATAGTTTTGTGCAGCGTTTTACCTTCCCGCATTCAGATTCTCAAGCGCAAGAAAATTCCGATCCGGAGAAATTGTGAATTGTGCGCCGAGCGTCGAATGTAAATTACAACCCATAAACACTTTTGTTGCCGCGACTGGCAGCCGGAGCAACGAACGACTGAAGGAAGTCAGGATGTTAATTATGATTAAAGGGCTTCATTTGCGTTGCACGCAGTTGTACGTGCTGAATGGTCGGTATTCGGTTTAATTATTCTTTGCGAGCTCGCGGCCCGTCGAGCGGTTGCTACAATGGCATCCTGCTGTGAGGATGAGAGCAGCGCCAGCGCAAAAGGACAAAGACTTTTCAAAGCGCACACACCTTTGGTGATCATTTTAATTATGAAATGCTCTTTTGCCCCCTTCTTATAATAATTTAATTATTGTTTATCAACAAGATGGTATGTTAAACGCACAGTGTTTTAATTCAAATAATTTTCCTATGCGATAATAAACAACATCAAAAACAATAAATAATATTTTGTTTATTTTTGGTATGCATGAAAATTGCGCTGCGTAAAATTCCAGGCTCCAGGCAAAGGCGAAAGGGGTACACACACAGCAGCAAAAAGAGAACGCGGTAGGCACGGAGGTGGTACGCGCCGCCGCCGCACGCCGCCACCGCGGCGCTGACGCCGCGAGAGGCTGGGCCGCGCCAGTTGATCGCGGTCCGTCGCGTATCACGTTCGAATTGCCGCCGAGCATAAACCGCCGCCGCTGCCGCCACCACGAGGAAATATCAACCAAAAAAATTCACTTAAAAAACTGTGTCAATCAATTAATCGCATAAAATAGTGAATAAACTTAATCAAAATACAAATTATAATCTACATCAATAAATAAATGTTTTGATATGTGTGCAATTGAAATGTGTATTGATAAATGTAAGAGATGTATAAAGACATAATTGAATTTAACTTTTTATGCAAAGAAATAAACAAGTTCCACGCCGGTCGTCGTCTTGGTTCTTTTGTGTTCAACTTTGCCGTGCACAGAATTCTGAAGTGATATAAAGTGTTAAAGCCCTGAGAGGAACAACTATTTCAATAAAAACTTTTTTCGTTTTGTTGCTATAAATAAGTTTGTGATTTCTGCGAGTTCGGAACTGAAAAATTGGATTTGAACAATTCCTGAGGCGACTAATATTTTGGATACATTTTAAATTTTAGTCACGCTGGTAAGTAATTTATATTTAAATAATTCTAATGCGGCTAATATTAGTTCTCATCTTTGTAAAGCAACTCTTGAAAGTACAACTTGGCTATTGGTTAATGCCAGCCACAAAACGAATAGTCCTACAAAACGGATGAAATGAATGAGTACGCAAACGTGTTTTAATTAAATTACATACAGTTATCTAACGGTTATGTGGCGCACATCTCTTGAACTTTTTGCTCTGTATTTATTTTAATTAAATTTTCCTCGGGTTGAACTAATGTTTGATAAATTTTAATTTTCAGCGAATTTCAATAGAATCATGTATGTAATATGTAATATAAGATTTATTTTCACAAAATAGAGAATTGAATTAAAATATTTTATTTAATTGAAAATTGATCAATCAATTAGCTTTAATATGTGTTGAAATGGACTTTTTAATGACTCTAAATAATTGATGTGCAATTAACCGGAAGGGTGTAAATTCAATTATCTCATCTGATTTTGATTGGGATGAAAAAATGAGAGTAAAAATTGTATTTTGCAGCAGGTAATCAATAAGTCGTTACGTTGTTATTGCCGGCATAACATCGTTACGCGTAAAGTTCCGTTTCTTCACCTCGTTTGCAACACCAGCGCCGACATTAACACAATCATACAAATAGTTGAAAAAAGAGTGCAGAAATTGTATGAACATTTCCTGCGCACGACATCGAAGCATCGTGGCATCGGATTAGCCATTAAAGTAAAAAAATAGAAACGCACACATGCGAACATCCGCGCGCACTTCTTCTAGATTGGGTAGTTAGTTGCGCTCGGCGTCGAGGCGAGTAATGATTGATGACTTTTAAAACGTTTCCTTCATTCCGTCGCCGACGCCTGCGTCGCGAGAGGCGAAAGCTCGACGGATGTTGAAATGTTATATAACCGACCGTGTTGCCCGGCGCCTCCACTATCGTTTCCTTGCTTTTTTATTAGTTTTTTGGTTTTAGCACCACCATCAGCGAAATAAATGGCTTATTTAATGTTTAGAATATAAATTTCAACCATATGTTTCAAAAATTTTAATAAAATATTTAATAATATTAAATATACTATTTTTACATTTTAAGCGTTATTTTAATTTGTGACTAGAAAAACGTGGTATAAATGTGTGAAAATTGTTATGGACACTTGGTAGATGCGTATATTACTTTGCACACTGCACAGCTTAATAGTTCGTATGTAATTAATTACATGGACGTTTCAGTCATAACGTAAATATAATAAATGATGCGTTATCGCAGCTCGACCCTATTACCAGCTCGGCGAATGTATCATCACTGCATTAATAACATCCCTTGGCTATTCCATACGATTCTGATGTGCAATATGCATGAATTTAAAGCTTATTTTGCATTCAAATGAAATTAAATTGATTTTTTTAAATAATTTTAGGCCAAATGCGGATTAAAAACATAAAAAAATATATTTAGCTGTCTAGATAAGAAAAATCAATATTTATTTTCGTAAATATTTTTGTAAATATGTTTAGTGCAATTTTGGTTATGTTTTGATATAAATAAATAATTTCATTATTAAAAATACATTGAATATTTAATATTTCATGTAAATATATGCAATATTAATGTCATTTTATCTATAAATGACAATTTTTATTTAATTTCAAGTTCTATTAGGTGCTACAATACCAAAATTCTTTTTTTATATTTCCTGCTTGAGCTTCTGTTGATTTTTCTTATTTCCGTCTCCCATGTCCTGTTCTTGTTTTTGTTTATTAGATTAAACCACTCACACACAAATCCTCGAAGCCCTTGCAGATTGACCCCTAGCTCTTCTAACGCTGATGACATTGCGAAAGTAAACACACCGCACGATTTCCGGGAAAGCGACAAGAAGCAAAGCAGCAAATGGTGCGCGGCTTGCGGGCATCGCAGCGCGAGCAATAAATAAAACGCGTCGAATGTAGGTTAATTGGTTCTTTGACACATATTCCTCCCCGGCGTGGCGTATATCTGCGCGCGTATGCGTTATGATGGTATGTGGAGGGTGGCGGCATTTCTACGTGCAGCGGTCGAATAAATAAAGGAAGCAGAGCGAGGGCGATAAGCGCGCAGCGCTCTCGATTGCGCGATGGAACGTCAATAAAAATGTCGAAATTCGATAGAACTCGAATGATGTCGCGCTTGATTTCACGATATCATGAACACACTTATCGATACTCGAATGAAGAGTATTTCTGCAAGCGTAATTAACATATATTCGGAAAATAAACAAGGTATCAAGAGTATAAAATTATTACTTTTGAAATATATGCAAAAATATTACTTTAAACGCTTTGATATTTAAATTTTATGGTTGTGATACTTCAAAACAACAAATTTACATAAAATGCATAAAATTTCGCGTAAAACTTATCACCTTTATATTTATTTTTAAAAATTTACAAAATCGACAATTTTATTTGTTTAAATTTACGACAATTAGTGTTTATTTTATAGTCCGTGGCTCATTGTTGTAAGCGCAAACCTTAAACGTGTTCAGTCATCAGCGCCCAGCGTGTTGCACCCCATCCCTTTGTGCTAATCCGCATGCCAACATGCGTATAAGCGTACATGCTCAACATGATGTTCCGCCATGGTCGACCACCGCCAGCATCGACCACCAGCATCCGTCAGCTGGCCGTGATGATTGATTGATTGATGTTTCGGGTATTATGACGGCGCGAAAGACTAATGTGCGCCAAGAACGAAGTCCCGCGATGTCGAAAACTGGCCGAAAGCAGTTGTGTTACTTGGTTTGACAATTACCACCATATAGGTATTAGATAAGCGACTCAAACGACGTAAATGGCAAATCAAGTAAGTTTGGCCACGGATAATTGCGTGTGCAAGTAGATTGATTAGCATCAAAGCAGAGCTCTGAGCAAACAGTGTGTCAAACGATAATGTGTATCAGTATATTAAGGTAATGGTAAACACTTTGATCATTAAACATTGCTAGATATACTATTAGTGATAATTAATTATATTTTAATAAGTTATATAGTATAAGTATATCAGAATTCTGCTTTGAGGTGTCGGAGTAATGGATATAGCAATTACTATGATTGCGTTCTTGTCCACTCACGTTTGTAACACAAATATTGTGGGCGTCCAGCTAGATGCAAACGAGATTTTAGTCAGAGCGGATTTAACACGTTGTGCGGGCAGTGCTTTACACCTCATCGTGTAATATTCCATTAGTTGCTTACACCTTTCACAGTAGAGGACTCATCTTTCAAAGGAATTAAATAAAAATTATTTTATTCATCAAATTAAATCAAATTTCAGCAAAAATACATTTATTCATGTTTGTAAGTTTGGTTGCAGTAAAATAGAAAATATTTATAGTTTGTGTAGGTGTTCATAGATGGCGCTACATGTTTATAACCAATTTTATTAACTATTTGTCCAAAAATCACAAATATTTGAATGAAATTTGAATTAAGTGTTTCATGTTTCGCTTTGTAAAGCAGCACAAAACCCTCCTTTGCGCCACTTGACTTGAATTAATAATTTGTCTTCCAAAGTGAGCACAACATCTATAAGACATTATTAATTATTATAATTAATGGCGTATCCAGGTCTGTGGTACGGCTTCCGGTCTCGGCGTTTTCGCTTCATTTGTTCTCGTGTGTGAAATACCCGATGCATCGTGCTAGCAGCCATGTTCGCCGATGCGTGTATTGTATATTATATTGTTAAATCTGCTCGAAGTAACCGGCTCGATGCCGTAAGCTTTCGGCTGGCTGGCTGTGCTGGCAGGTGGACGCGCCGGGGCGCATTCATCGCGCACGCATGATTAAAACTTAATTAATGACACCCACAGCGAACTCAATATCGTCGCCAAGCAAGCAACCACTCGAATCATACATTATGTTTACATTTAATTCGCAACAGTTAAATTTATTTAGTTGTATCTGTTTAATGTTACAATTATGAGTGAATTAATGTTGGGAATGATACAAATTTGAAATAATTTCGTGGATATTAAAGGGTTTCGAATTAAATTTCACAAAACAGGTAGTATTTGTATTTAGCTTGGTAAAACAGTCTGTTGTTATATTGGAGCACTGCCACCTGATACAGTAATTGGGTGTTCGTGAATGCCGCTTTTGTGCTGGTCCTTGTGCTGTTTAATAGTTTACAAGCGCAACTGATGTGCTGCCTATAAAACAAGGATTTGATCGAGGATGCATGAAAACGGACGGTTAATTTATGATGAAACTTTGTACATTTTAGATGCATTAAATTTTTAAGGCATCGAAACATCAAAAATATCATAAAAATTGATTTAAACTCAAATTTATTTTTTTTTCTGGTAAAAATACATCGAAAAAATTGATCCAGACATTTTATATTATTTTATTCATACATACAGACCACAAAAACAACGTGAATGGTAAAATTGTGTTGAGTTATTTCACAATTTTTTAACTTTTTGTTGGAATATTGACATGACTCTTGAAGCGATGCACAAAAGAGAAATGAAGCAGACATCACGCACACGCAGCCGCTCGCCGAATGCTGTTAGAGCCTCCATTAACTCGGAAGACTCTTTACAAAGTGTAATCACGTTTTAAATTTCTTCGCCGCACGTCAATGGCACCGCGGTGCAGAGGTGATGGTTTCGGGTGCGCCTAAACGTTCGCTATCGGGTTACACATTATAACTTGCCATTCAGAAAGTTGCGTCATTCATTCTATTAATTGACACATTTTCATCGCGTTCGTTTGCTTTCACCCTACGCCGATCTCGGCAGGAAATTTTAATGGGTCTAATAAAATTACCTACTCAACGACACATTACCGTAATGAATTGAATTATTAATCAATCGGCAATTCTGTACTATTATTAAAATGTCCTATACTCTTGCTCAAAAACACATTATTTATATTTTGTAGGTATCTTAACAATTAATTTTACGAGGCGTGCATGGACGTGATAGAAATGACGATGGTTTAGCTGGCGGAGCATT